ATGATAGATGTAGAGATATGAGATAACCCTGCTTCATCCTGATACCGGGTCGAACCACCCCCACCTCCTTGGTCAATTCTCCTACCAACCAAGTGAGTGTCACCCACTCACCCTTCTTCTAACGCTTCTTCTGATGCCTTCTTGTTTGTCCAAACTTGCAGCCGAACATTATCCTAGCTCCACAGCAACTTGGCTTATCTCATGACTACACACGCACAAAACTGGGAATCTAAAGCCCAATTTTAGTTCCGGTTCAATATCCACAATCTTGTTTCTTCTCATGGCTGTAAATCAATTCGGTCCAACCCGGGTTGGATCCACACTCCAGCCCATTCATCCAAACCCATGAAAACCCGTGATTGGCGGATTTAAAAATAAACTTACAAAAATCGTTTGCGCGTGTACTTCAATCGCCCACCTCTTTCCCTCTCTCAGTCTCTCTCCATCTGATCTCTCTTTCCCAAGCTGTACTGACTGTAAATTCCAAAACCTTTTTTTAGTTTTCTCTCTCCTTCTCCCTCTGCTTTTCCCCTTTTCGTTCATCTCAGCTAGCCAGTGACCACAAACACTTTCCTCCATTTGCCCCCTTTCTCCCCCTTCTTCCTCTTCTCCCCCCACATTGCCGTCGATTCATCCTCCGGCAGCCGTCTGAGCTTTCTCTTCTCACCAATCGAACTCCTACCATGGCGCCAACCCCACGGCCGACGTTGCTTCTCCTCTTCGCATCCTCCATTTTCTTCTACCTAGCAGCCGTCTCCGAATCCAAGCTCTCCTACAACTACTACGACAAATCCTGCCCCAAATTCGCCCAAATCATCCAGGACACCGTCACCGACAAGCAAATCAAGAGCCCCACCACCGCCGCCGGAACCTTACGCCTCTACTTCCACGACTGCTTCGCCAACGGCTGCGACGGCTCCGCCCTAATCTCCTCCACCGCCTTCAACAGGGCCGAGCGCGACGCCGACATCAATCTCTCCCTCCCCGGCGACGCCTTCGACCTCGTCACGCGCGCCAAAGTCGCCCTCGAGCTCGCCTGCCCCAACACCGTCTCCTGCTCCGACATCCTCGCCGTCGCCACCCGAGATCTCGTCACCATGGTCGGCGGACCCTTCTACAGCGTCCTCCTCGGCCGCCTCGACTACCGCGTCTCCAAATCCTCCGCCGTCCCGGGGAATCTCCCCTTACCGTCAATGTCCACATCGCAGATGATCGACATGTTCGCCGCCAGAGGATTCTCCGCCCAGGAGATGGTGGCGCTGAGTGGGGCCCACACCATCGGATTCTCCCACTGCAAGGAGTTCACCGGGCAGCTCTACAGCAACGGCACGGGATCCGGTGGGTATAATCCGAGATTCGCGCAGGCGCTGCAGAAGGCGTGCGCGAATTACAAGAAGGACCCGTCGATCTCGGTGTTCAACGATATAATGACGCCCAACAAGTTCGACAATGTGTACTACCAGAACTTGCCCAAGGGGTTGGGCCTGCTGGCTTCGGACCACGGGCTCGTCGCCGACGCCCGGACCCGGCCGTTTGTGGAGCTGTACGCCAGGGATCAGAACAAGTTCTTCCAGGATTTCGCCAAGGCGATGCAGAAGCTGAGCGTCTACGGGATCAAGACTGGGAGGAGAGGCGAGATTAGGCACAGGTGTGATGCTGCCAACTGATTGGATTGGATTCTTTTTCTTCTTTTTGGAACGGCATTGATTCATATATGGTCGGTCAATCTCTCTTGGATTTAAAGTTCGGAGGTTGTTATATTTTCATGATTATAAATGATGTTTTTTTGGGTTGTGATCGTTGTTCTTTCCTTTTTGGTTCTATGAGCTTCTACAAATCGATCGGTCTTAGATAGGATTATCTTGTATTACCAGAGAGGGGGTTTTCATACGGGGAGATGGAGGAAGAAAGCAAAAAAGAGCTTACTTTGTATCAAGCAAGAAAAAAAGGAAAAGGGCTGATTTGAACTTTGTAAAAATTGATACTTTACATTTGAGCATGTTATTATCATGTTAATTTGATATAGTTTGGTTCTGCTCCGCTTCATCTCCTACGGCCTAAATTGAAAATTTTGGCAAATTTATCGGCCCTGAATCACTTGCTCTCATGAGTTGATCATATATAATTGGTGATGCCCTTGAACAGGGTGTGTTATTCTTCTTAGTTGTCTAAGGTTTTTTGAAACTGCTTGTGTTTAGTTTGGGTGATATCACTCCATTGAGCAGAGCCTCCTTATGATCTCCAACCATCCATCGTCTGTGCGCTTCACCTTACTTTATAGGCGGGGTAAAGCGTTGAAAAGAATTTGAGAAGTGTATGATCCAACTGGTAACCTTACGGTGATATATTGATGAAGAATGCATCATAAATGTTGTTATGCACAGGCGTAATCAAGCATGATGATGAACCTAACGACAACATCAGTCTCGTAGATGCACATCTCATTATCTCGGTGTAATCGATTCTGCTCTTGCGGAAGAATCCAGCAGAGTTTGTAAAAGTTTGGGCTGAGAATGAGTCCCCTGAGGTGAGCCTGACCCAGGGTTGCTGCTGGCGGCTGGCTAGGTGTAGTGAATCTGAGAAACTGAAACTAACCAGTCAACCCAACAGTGAGTCAGGTCAGTTGGAAGGAGAAGAAGGTAGAAAAAAGGGGGATTGGAAGAATCCTAAGCTGAGAAGGATTATTAAAATGGTAATGGGAATTGGGAACTGGGAAGTGAGGGCTGGGGAGCAAGCAATTAAGCATTACCATAATACCGAGGTAGAGGCGCAATCAGCGGTGAGTTTATTATATGGGATTCTGAAATTGGGAGCTTATTAACAATAAATTAAAATTCCTTCCGACTGTCACGACTCTACTCTATGCTGAATTTTGGCATTGGGGTTGTGGTGTGAGAGATTATATTATTAGTGCCGGCTCCATTACAGCACAACGTTTTGGTCATTACTCATAAGCGTCGGTGACACCTTGTCCCAGAAGAACCAATTCCTTGCATGTGCACAACCGGCTTTCAAGGCATATTTCCTCGTCATTTCCCACCAGAGACAGTTGCGATTAACATCTCGACACCGTGGTTCATAAAGAAATGATAAACAGTTGCGGATACTCTCAGGGTTTCTTCATCAGGACATTTCAAATTCCTACTTGCAGCCTTCTTGTTTATGATCATCGGTCACATACTTAAGGTGCGTGCTCCGATTTCTTTGGGGTGTTACCCTATTGATTCATTTGATTGTGGCAGTACCATCTATTGATATCGTCTTTTTTTCAAGTGTTCTGGTGTTCAGGGTGCTTTTTCGCAAATTCTATTGTCCTACTTATGAAGTCGCGCACAAAATTCTGTTGATGTCTACGTCAAACTCAATGGCGGAGCCGCGTTCTATCCATGAAGAGCTATAGTCTTTCAATTATTAAATGTAGATAAATTTATATGTAAAATTTGCAACAAAAATGAAAAATAGACTAATTGGCAAGGCTCGTGCTCCCTCTCCAATGACCATGGTCAAATCTCTCAAGTATAAATTTTGTAGCCGCTCGTTCAAATTTCTAACTTTGTCCTTATACCGAACTGTTGATGTGATTTGAATCGGACTATCAGCCGCTATGGCTTGAATTCACGGGACTGGTTGTAACCGCTTTTCCTTTACCATATTGGATTAGGGTTGGACCTAGGAGAAGTACTATAAATACTTCTCATACTCTTTTGTAATCTGTATTATCTCAAGTATAGTGAAAACTGGCTCTCTCCTGCCCGTTGACTAGCTAACACATATTATATTAGTGAACCACGTAAATCGTGCATTTTGTGTGGGCTTTTTTTTTTTTGCATTGTTGAATCTTTCTATTTTGCCGATACGCGGAAAACAGTCTTTGACAGGAACAAATAATTTTATAGCAAATTATCCTGTTTTTGCATTTAGGACAGTAATCTACAGCCAAAATCTCAAATGCTAAACGATCCCTCAATGTCATGTGTTTAATCAAGTACGTAGGCACTATCATACAACGATGCCAAGCCAGCTGTCTGCGGGCCGGCCCACCTGGAAAGGCTCACAATTGTAGGCCCAGATAAAAAGTTTGCATGAGGAGTTGGCCCGCTCGCCTATGATGGTCACCTAACGCTCATTTTACCTTTACCTACCAGGCTACCACACCAATGTGAATATGTGATGAAAAAGTTTCAAGAATAAACAAATAATGATCAAGGAGAAAAGCCAAAGCCCAAAATGTCCTTTCTTTACATTATCACCATTGGAGAAAACACTAATTATAACGAGGCCGCAGACTTGAGAATGAGGTTATGATTGTTAGAGGCATAAGTTTGGATTCAAATGTTTTAGATTGGAGTTTTGACGTTATTCTTGCATTTTTTATGACAGTCATTGACAATAAAACTATCATATTCGTATAATCCACTCATTTGAACTCGCTCGTCGAATGTTTATAAAGGTCTAAATTTACCGCAAGTGACGAATTTCTTTGCATGACGAATTTTTTTTTTATATGATTGTACAACGATTGAAAACTAATGAATATACATAAAAAAAAAAGTTTTACATCCTTTCCCATGTTCATCTGTCGTCTCCTATACAAAATCAAAGCACATCTCAAATTCTCAATCATGGAGCATAAAATAATTAATACTCAATTAATTACAAGGATTCCTAAACTTCATGTACGTGTTGACAAAATACAATATATAGCAGCCATGATGAAAATGTGACCGGATGCTTACTCGGTGTATGATGCAGCCATGACGACCATATGATGTGCCGTGGCTGTTGAAGGTTATCGTTCAATATATATAAATATATCATCACAAATGGACAAAACCTTGTTCAGTAGCCATCGTGCGACCTTAAATCAACAATTCAAAACCTCTATCTCAATCCCCTATATATAAAGCAGGTGAAACCCCATATCATCATTCATCAATCATCCCTCCAATTCCCACAAGAAATTAAAAGATCAAACTCTCTACAGCTAGACTCGACTCGAGATGGTTCAGAAGCACCACGTGGTCGTGTTCTCGTCTCCTGGAATGGGCCACCTCATCCCGCTCGTCGAGCTCTCCAAGAAGCTCGTCACGGCCCACGACCTGTCCATCACCCTCGTCGTCCCGTCCTTGGGGCCGCCTCCCAAGGCCCAAGCTCAGGTGCTCGAGTCGCTCCCACCCGGTTCGATCAACCACGTCCTCCTCCCTCCGTCCGATCCGTCCAAGTTCCCAACCGGTTTCCGAATCGAGACCCTGATTTGTCTCACCGTCGCCCATGCGGTTCCCGCCCTTCGCGAGGCGCTCAGGTCACTGGTCGAGAGGGTTGGAAGGCCGGTGGCTCTGATTGCTGACTTCTTCTGCACCGACACGTTCGACGTTGCCAGGGAATTCGGTGTGCCGAGTTACCTGTTCATCCTCATGAATGCCACGGTATTGTCCATGTTACTTCATCTCCCCAGACTCGACCAGGATGTATCCGGTGAGTACGGGGACATGGATCGCCCTATCCGGCTCCCCGGTTGCAGGGTTGATCTCCCCGGTTCGGATCTGCCCGACCCGCTTCTCGACCGGAAGGACGACGCCTACAAATGGTTCATGCACAACGCCAAACGTTTAAATCTGGTGGATGGATTCCTGGTAAACAGCTTCACGGAATTGGAAGGAGAGACCATTCGGTATTTGCAAGAGAATCCCGGACCCGAGAAGAAACCGGTCTACCCGGTTGGACCCATCATCCAATCCGGCCAATCCAACGGTTTGACCGATCCGAGCGGGTGCGTGAAATGGCTGGACGATCAACCAACCGGTTCGGTCGTGTTCATTTCGTTCGGCAGCGGCGGGACTCTGTCTACGAAGCAGCTGAAGGAGCTGGCATTGGGTCTGGAGATGAGCGAGCAACGTTTCCTCTTGGTGGTGAGAAGCCCAAACGACGCGGCCACCGATGCCTCGTATTTCAGCGCAAATAGCGCTTCGAACCCGGTCGATTTCCTGCCCGAAGGGTTTGTGGAGCGAACCAGAGGCAGAGGCATGGTGGTTCCGTCGTGGGCGCCGCAAATCCAAGTGCTTGGCCACCGGGCCACGGGCGGGTTCGTGAGTCACTGCGGGTGGAACTCGACGATGGAGAGCATAGTGAATGGGGTGCCGCTGATCGCCTGGCCGCTGTACGCGGAGCAGAGGATGAACGCGGTGCTGCTGGAGAAGGATTTCGAGATCGCGTTGCGGCCGGAAGCAGGGGAAGACGGGGTGATCGTGAGGGAAGAGATCGCGAGGGTCGTGAAGGGGCTGATGCGAGGGGAAGAAGGTGCGGCGGTTCGTGAGAGAATGGCGAAGTTGAAGGTGGCGGCGGCGGAGGCAGTGAAGGAGGGAGGTTCTTCCACCATGGCGTTGGGTGAATTGGTATCTAAGTGGGGAGAAGAGCCATTAGAATAGTCCATTGACCAAAATAATTAGTTTATTTGTTTTGATTCTCATAAATTGTATTCTCTTGTGCAGCTGTGCTCTCCATTATTTTTAGGGATGGCAGGCCGGGGCCCAATTCCGGGTATCCGCCCGAAGCCATTTAATAATTGACTGGAGCTTTTATTTTTTGTTGGTGGTACGTGGTAGTTAGCATTATTAGCTTTGTCGTCGTCTTCAAGAACAATTCATATGATTCCCCCAAGCTCGTCCCATCCAGAATTGTTACCCCTATTTCCGAAGTCTCGGTGTTCTCGATTGTGAAGAACACGAAGCCCTTGGCCTCTCAACAAGTTTCTCACCGACTGTCCATCTTACCTCGGTACATTCATAGGTTTCGTTTCGTCATTTCGATTTCTTCATCACTTACGGTTTTGGAGGTGTGTTGTTCATAGCATTTTATTTGATGTTATTGTTTGAAACTTCTTAATTAGTTGGTGGTGATGTTCTCCGAAATATTATGATACCTATGTTGCTGTTTGGAGATTTATATAGTTTTGTGCTTTAGTTTTCGTGATAACTATTGTTCGGAGCATTTGTAATTGTTTTCAAATTAAGACGACTTTGACAAAAGATCTCGTTACATCTCGTTCTTCTCCATTAATGTTTTGCAAAGGGAATGGTTTCTTTGACCGTAGTATATTTTGGGATTATTAGTTGATAAGTCTTTTTTTTTATAGTTATAGTTTCAAATTGTTGGTAATTAAGTAATTATTATCAATTTGATGATGAGGGAGATTATTAGAGTATTGAGTAATATGTCATAGCACGAGCATTTTTATGTAATTTGTTATAAATTTATTCTTTATTAGAGTTCTCTAGAAGTTATATATTTTCCTTAGTAATCACATAAATAATTATGTTTACCTTTTTATAAAAAACAAATAAGTGATCAATTTATGGAGTCCAAGACTAGGGGTGGTATTCAGTCGGTAACCGGTAAAACCGGTTATCGACTTTATCGGTTTTCGGTATGCCGAGTGTGGGTAAGTGGGAATCGATTACCGATATCGGTTTGCCGGTTACCGGTAAACGGTTACAAACCGGTTTTACTGACTTACCGTAAGGAGTAGTTGCGGACGGTTTTTTTATTCGGTTTACCGGAAAATTACCGAACAGAATTTCTGGGCAGTGGGGTGATGTTGGAATATTTTGATTTTTCTGATTTTTTTTCTTCATTTTTGTAATTAATAATTTATTATTAACTCTTATTTATAATATTTTTTAGGCCTATACTTACTTACTTCCATTCATGTATTTAATATTTGTGAATAATGAAGTATATGTTATATGTTAATGCCTTAACTGGTCTGGTATCGGCATTACCGAATTAATGTCGGTTTTACCGATACCGAGACCGGTAAATCGAGCTTCCTCATTTGACCCTCGGCCGCCGATACCGCCGATAAACGATTTACCGTTTACCGCCGGTTACCGGTTCGGTAAAATGGTAAACCATTTACCAGCTTACCGTTTGTCACCCCTATCCAAGACGGCTCAATATTTGATATGAACCCAATAGATGAAAACTAAATACTAACATAGTCATGAGTTTTATGACAACCCTAACTAAATAACCCACTATATATATGAACTTAGATATTGAGATCCTCAATATACCAAGAACAAAAAAATACATATATATTCTCCCATCGAGAATACGTGATCACCCTATCAGGTCACACTTCAGTTGGTAGTCAGTAAAGATTGATTGTCCCCCATATTTACAGAGGTGGGTAATAAGTGTTCAAATTACATTGTTTGCAGAGTCATGCTTTTACCTTATGGTGTTTGTTTAGCAGTTTAGTTGTTGTCCACTGGATGTTGTATGACTATTGAAAAGGTTCTCCAGTATTGGTTGATTTTGAATGAAAGTCAGGATATATAATATCTATTTTGCAATTGGAACTGGGAGCTTTAGTCGAGCAAAGCTACAAAACCTCTTAGCTCGTGCTTTAGAGGTACTGATCGGTTACAAATTATCTCGCAAATACCAAATCAAACTCTTGACGATTAAACAAAATAAATCCTATTAATTCTATAACCTTACATAATTAAGATAATATAATGTGACGAAATGTATATGTAAAGCTGCTTACTAAATGTATTTGGAAAGTTGCTTGCTTTAAATTTAATTCCTTTATAGCTGTTATTTCTAAAGATGTGGGTGGAAACGTTAATTGATCACATATTCACATTACCATTGTAAATAACCAAATATTCATTTCCCAAATGGAAGGCCAACATGTTTGTGTAATATGTATCTCTTCTTCAATTACAAACCGTGATCGTCTGATCGATGACTAGTAGTAGTAAACAGTGACATGCAGCGATGGGAATCGTTGCTTTGTAATATGTATCTCTTCAAGTATAATGAAAATGATATATCCTGTCTGTATAGATTAGCTAACATAAATCGTTTTAGCGAACTGCGTAAATATGTATATCTTTACCTACTTATATATTATCAATTTCGCGATCTGTCTCTTGATCATATTACCTTCTTTCTTTTATGCAATTCACCATTCATTCAGATGAGTTATAGTAAGATCCTCGGTATAATTAGCAGCTAGCTATAGCCAACCAGTGGAGTGTAACATGCATGCATCCACTTTTACAAGTAGAGATCACAAAATCAAAATGGCTTTCCTTCTCTTCAGATTCCTCTGGCACCTGTGACAATGGCAAAAGCATCTCAATCATGGGACATACAACATAGTAGTATGTCTCAGCCATGACGACGATATGATGTGACCATCGCACTTGCAAGGAAGCATCGCTTATCAATTTTCTATAGTCTTCCCAAATGCACTGAACCTTGTTGACTAACTGTCGTATGAACTTACATCATCACTTCCCTCTTAATTCCCTATATATAAGCCAGATTAGGCAGTTGGAAATCCATCATCAATCATCTAATAAACCCCCTCATCCTTTATAACACTAGCTACCTTTGCTCTCAGCTCATTTCTGTGTTCAAAAACCAAGCAGAAACCACAAGAGTAAAAAAAAACTAACCCGCACCACATCCACCAATGGCCCGAAAGCCCAATGTAGTCATTTTCCCTTCACCAGGGATGGGCCACCTCATCCCGCTCGTCGAGCTCTCCAAGAAGCTGGTCCTGGCCCACGACTTATCCATCACCCTCATCGTCCCATCGTTGGGCCCACCATCAAAGGCCCAGACCCAAGTCCTCAAGTCTCTTTCTTCCGGTCCGATCAACCACATCCTTCTCCCGCCGACCAACCCATCAGACTTTCCAGCTGGTACTCGAGCTGAAACCCTGATCTGCCTCACTGTTGCCCAGGCAGTTCCTGCGCTTCGGGACGAGCTCAAATTGCTCGTCGAGACGAGTGGAAAACCGGTTGCTCTTGTCGCCGACTTCTTCTGCACTGACACTTTCGATGTCGCCAAAGAGTTCGATGTGCCGAGTTACTTGGCTGTCCTCACGAATGCCATGACGTTATCGATGTTACTTGATCTCCCGAGGCTCGATGAGGAGGTGTCTGGCGAGTACGGGGACATGGATAGCCCGATTCGCTTCCCCGGATGTAAGGTCGATGTTCTCGGTTCGGACTTGCCCGACCCGGTTCTAGACAGGAAGGACGACGCGTACAAATGGTTCATGCACAACCTGAGACGCACCAATTTAGCGGAGGGGTTCATAGTAAACAGCTTCACGGAGTTGGAAGGTGAGACCATTCAATTTTTGCAACAGAATGTCGTGTCCGAGAACAAACCAATCTACCCGATCGGACCCATCTTTCAATCCGGCAGCTCGAACGATTTAGCCGATCCGAGTGGATGTTTGAAGTGGCTAGACACTAAACCAACCGGTTCGGTTGTGTTCGTTTCGTTCGGTAGCGGTGGGACCCTATCTTCAGAGCAATTGAAGGAGCTGGCACTCGGTCTGGAGACGAGCCAACAAAATTTCCTCTGGGTAGTGAGAAGCCCGAACGACGCGGCGGCCAACGCATCTTACTTCAACTCGAGAAGCGGTTCGAACCCGCTCGATTTCCTGCCCGAAGGGTTCGTAGAGCGAACCAAAGGGCGGGGCCTGGTGGTCCCGTCATGGGCCCCACAGATGGAAGTGCTTAGCCACGTGGCGACGGGTGGGTTCGTGAGTCACTGCGGGTGGAACTCGACGGTGGAGAGCATTGTGAATGGGGTGCCGATGATTGCCTGGCCGTTGTACGCCGAGCAGAGGATGAACGCCGTGCTTCTGGAGAAGGATTTCGAGATCGCGTTAAGGCCAAGAGCAGGGGAAAATGGGGTGATCGGAAGGGAAGAGATTGCCAGGGTGGTGAAGGGTCTGATGCACGTGGAAGAAGGTGCGGCGGTTCGTGAGAGGATGGCGAAGTTGAAGGTGGCGGCCGCCGAAGCAGTGACGGAGGGAGGTTCTTCCACCAAGTCGTTGGGCGAATTGGTATCTAATTGGAAGAAGGGCCATTAGATCAACGAGGCATTATTTTGTACTTGATGGTCTCATGTTTATTATATCAGTGTGACGTATTTGTGTTCTAATTTTCCTTGTGCTCTCTTATTTTGTTTCAGTTGTCCATTTTGGTGGGCTAATAATTGAGTAGAGGTTTTGTTCTTTCATGCTATAATATTCGTGAGATTCCGAGATGGTGATATTCGGCTTCTGATTGATCAAAATGTATTGATATGCCTATAGTAAGGTTTAAAACTATATAAGAGCCAACGAAAGAATGTTTTTGTATTGATTTAATGTTCAACGCATAATTAGTTAGTAATCAATAAATCCCATCAACTAGCCTCTATTAAAAAATTTCTATACTCTTTGCTTTTTTTTACCTTATGTTTTTAATTCAACACATTTGACTAACTGATTGTCTTATGACTTCTCATCGTGACTTGCAATTAAACTACCCAGTCGTTTGAACTTTGAACCCTAAAAAGCAGTATGAGATTGAAAACATATGAGACTCTACAATATACAAAGCAAGGGTTAAATACATAAAACAAAACCTCATTTACATTTTTTTTTTGTCCCACTCCCACAGGGCAAATTTCCAAATTATCTTTTCCTGTTTTCCTCTTTCTTTTTAGTTGTAGAGGAAATCAGAAAAGGAAAACCAATTTGTTTGGGTATCCCCAAGAATATAAAAACAAGAGGAAAAGGAAAGCAGAAAGCCCACAGTCAAAGCCCAAGCGTCCCAGCTCATAGCCCAATACACTCGCCCCAAAGTCCAAATAGAAGGAGTAAAAACAGATTTACATTTGACACCCACAAACAAAAGTGAAAAGAAAGTTAAAAACCTGTAACAAAGTCACTTAGGGTCCCCGTCCGGACTCCGGACTCAACCCGCCGATCACCGAGTCTTGCTGGGGAACTCCCACCGAGTCTCCATCTCCAGCAACTCCCCCCAATCCACCTCCTCCACCGGCGTATCTTCCTCCGCCTTCCGCCGTAGCATCTCCAACACCATCCTCGCCTTCTCCCTCGTCCCTTCTCTCCGCCCCCTTTCCGCCGCCGTCGCCAGCACCTCCTCCGCTCCCGCCGCCTTCGCTAGCCCCTTAAACCTCAACCCGCCCTGACACAATCCACACAACACCGTCACACAGCTCTCCTCAATCGACTCATCCGATTCCAATTCCGGTTCAGACTCGCCCCTCAACCGATTCACCAAACACTCCACCCCGCCGCCGTCCAACATCGCCGCACGCCCGTCGACGCAGAACGCCAAGTTTCCCAATATCAACAGGACCCGACCCGCCATATGACCCGACTTCAAAATCCCCAACAGGACGCCAACCGACCCGATCCGCACCATCTTACTCCGATTGCTCTGAATCAGCGACAGGTGGTACAGCGCCAGAGCCGAGTCATCACGAGTCCGCTCGCTCCCGGACCGGAGCAAATTCAAGAGCGGCGGCAACGCCCCCAAAACGCCGATCGCCGTCTTGTTGTGATCGTCGAGGGCCAAGCTGAAAATCGCCCCGGCGGCGTGGTCCTGCGCCTCGGGAAACCCGCCCTTCAACACGTCAATCAACGGCGGGAGCAGCCCCGACCTTACAATCTTCACCTTATTCTGCTTTTGCAATGATAAATTGACCAGAGAAGCGACGGCGTTCACCTGAACGTTCGTGTACCTGGACGAAATTAGGGTTCGCAAGGCGGAGAGAACCGCCGGAGTGCAGAGATTGACGGAATTCTCTTCTTTCGTCCTGGTCATGTTCCGGAGAGAAATTAAGGCATCTTCGATTTCGAACACTTGTGCACTCTTCAGCTTGGCGAGGAGCGCTTCCTCAACCGGGTCAAGTACGGTTTCGTCGGGCTCCGACGAGGAAGAAGCGGAGCGGGAGGAGTAGCATACGGGTCGGGTCGGTATTCGGAGCGGGAGCGAAGAATTGGACGAGCCGGGGGAGCTAGTAATGGATTCCTCCGAGCTCGTTGAGACGCGAGTTTTTTGGGTTGCTTCCCCTGTTTCAATTGCTCTGTTCTCTACCAAATCGGGGTTCCCTTGTTCTGCAAATTGGGTTTCCCCTGTTTCAATTACTCCTCTGTTTTCTTTCAAATTGGGGCTCCCCTGTTTCTTCAAATCCTCCATTTTGGCCCTGACGATGGATTCCGCCGTTGAGTAATCGAGAGGCTTCGGGTGGCTTATGGAGTGGGTATTGCACCAGTTGAGGATAGCGGATTTGAGAGCGAGATTGGGGATTGCGACGTAGGAGAAATCAGGGGCGAAGGAGGTGTTGTCATCGCCGCCGCCGGTGAGAACAGGGGAGAAGCCAAGTGAGTGGCAGGCTTGAAGGCAGGCTCGGTCGAAGGTGTGACCGGAGGAGACGATGACCGGGTCGGTCATCAGTGACCCGGAAATGGGACAGAGAAACTCCGTTGGAAGGACGACGCCGGCAAGGGAGGTTTGAGGGCGAATTGAGTTGGAGTTGGAGGATGGTGATGCGGCCCAAGAGAGGGACCGGCGGGAGGAGAAGATGCTCCATCGCTGCTTGTGTACAGTGAGCTTCTGCTTCGCTCTCTGCTCGTCGTCGATCATGGATGAGTGAGTGGAAAACTAGGGAGAGAGAAAGAGAGCTTCTGATGAAGGAATTTGTATAGATTCCCTACATGTGGAGAATCATCTTCGCTAAAATGCTCAATGGAGCCCTGGAGAAGGCAAGTTGGACACTTTTTTGAATTAGGGTTCATATTTTAGCGCTGCTCTTTAATTTATGTTTTGGTCCACCTGTAATTAACTGCATGATGCATGTGGCCACTCGTGCAAGTTATATTAAACTTAACGTGGGTAGAAAATTTTCAATTTTGAGAACTCCCTTATTTTTGCATGGGCTATATATCAGACTACGTACAGAAATTATATTAAATCTCTTATTGTATCTCTTTAAATTTTCTTGTACAGAGAATTGAATATATATTGCGAGTAAAATCAAAATCCTCCATGAATGCCCAATAAGCTCATAGAAGCAATTAAAATGAGTACATAACTTTATTATTGCATGGATACTAGTCCTTGAAAAGAATTACCCACAAATAATAATTATCCAAGCAGATCTTTTAAATTTAGTCCTCACTTTTACCATCCCTAACATCCTTTGGTGCTTAGATGTTTCTCCATTACCGTCTTACAGATAACATGTAAAGTTTTTGAATGAGTTAAATTTAATACATTCGGAAGGGTTCATAATGTTATAGGTCATTATTATATAAATAAATAAAAATGACTTCCAATAATACATGTAGTATTTTTGTTGAATTAGTACAACAATGTATAATCTTTTTTAATTTACATTATAAAATGGGTAAAGAATAGACCATAGGGACATCTAAATGAGATTAAGCAAGACGGGTAAAAAAGAGAGCAAAAGGAAGACAGACAAAGAGGGCAGAGAAATACATGGATGCAATAATAATTTATTTGATTGGATTCCACAGACAAAAAGGCTCGCGACAACACCAAAACAATCCACTTTTGCTCTGTATATGGAGGAATTATTGAATACGCGGTTGTCAAAGACCAAGAAACAATTAAAGGGAAAGCTTAATTGAGACTTCACTCTTAATTAATTCTTGGATTAGCTAAACTAAACTTTGCTTTATTGATGACCGTAGTGACTTTTAAGCAGCAGCTTCTCCCCCACCACTACTGCAGCTATTAGCTAATCCCTTCATCACCATCATCAGAAACTTTAGCATTTGGTTTGCTTATTATTATAATCTCTTGCGCGCATTACAGCCAATCTCCTCTAGCTGCTGTAACCCTTTTCCCCAATTTATCAAAAGCTGAGGTGACACTTGAATGAAAGTTAGGGGGAAAAAACAACAGTAGGCATGATAAATGTTGAAACCTGAAACCTCCATAGAGAAAAAGTTCAAGTAATGGTCAAATAACAGACAAAACATAAAGCTCAAATCATTCACTATAGACCATACCTGCGCTGGGACCTTTTTTCAACTGAACTGTGAATTTCAGCTTTACTTTTTAGACTTTTGCTTTGTTAGTGTCAATGTCTCGCCTTTCATTCTGTTATGACTTATGATCCTGCTAGTAATTTATCAGTAAATTATTAGCATGTAAACTTCATATATCTGTTATGATCCTGCTAGTAATTTATCAGTAAATTATTAGCATGTAAACTTCATATATCCCCCCCCTCCCCCATTTTTATGAAAAATGGTTTCGCACAATGATGTTATCTTTTTATTTAATTTTGGTATCAACATTGTGATTTTTATCCACAATAGGCATTCGCGAGAAACAAAAAAGTAAAATGAGCATGGAGATCATTTATTTAATTACATATTTCACTAATTCGATATATGTTATATAGTCCAGAGGCAAAACAAATAAGTTTCACTATTTGGAAGGTGCAAGAGATTAGAAGGTCTTTGTGGATACTTTCTCCAAACATTAACAAACGACTCCCAACAGTTGTCATCTAAATAAGCATATTGAAGTTATATTAACAAATGCTTTTAAGTATAGTATAATACATAAATTGTGCATTATGTGGTGCCTATATATTTTAAACTCATGTATACTACGGTACGAAATGAATCCTTAAAGTCTTACCTACCAAATAAACAATATCTTAGAGATCTACATGTGAAGAAAAATGACATTCTAATACCCTTCTGAATAAATGAAACAAACAATTGACACTTTAGAGATATGGTGGCGGCACTTTTTAGGGGGAGAACAGGAAGTAAAAAGATTAAAAGTAGGGATAACGACACTTCTCATGGATGGTCGCTAATTATTATTAAACCTTCCCCACCCACTTCCCTTTCATCAATATTATTGGCCCCCCTCCATCCCTTAATCGCGAAGCTTTTCTAAATTCCCTTTTCTCTTCTTTATCGTTCCTTTTCCCTAAAATATAATACCTTACATATATCCATGTTCATTAAAACAATTAAATTTCCACTTAGGTTTGACCCTTTAGTCTTTTGCTAGTGTATTCTAGGCTGGCCAAAGGGATCAGTTAGCGTGACTACCCCTAAAGGGGTAGTGATTTTTGACACCCCCTTTATGATTGGCCAATTTTATTTCCAATTATTGGCAAGTATTAATTAAACTGATTTTTTATTTTTTTAATCTTGTAATTTGGGGTCTCTCACCACATTGGAAAAGAGAAAGAATCTGGGGAAAAACGAAATCACCCCCATTAATTACATAATTAATTTCTCTCACTGGTACATTAATTACACGTACCACTCCACTGGTACACGTACCACTCCACTGGTACACGTACCACTCCACTGGTACACGTACCACTCCACTGGTACACGTACCACTCCAATGGTACACGTACCACTCCACTGGTGCGAGCAATCCACAAGGTAGGTTAGAGTGAGAACAATACCAGTGCAATGATATTTTTCATAACAATGATAAACAATAATAGGGAAAAAATAGGAACTTTCCATTAGTAGCCAAAAACTGTGTTCCAAAATGGGTTGCAAAATTAGGGAAATGCCAACAATAATGCCAAAAGCAATAAATTATCATTCGAATGTGAATAAACATAAAGTCTTCACAATTTTTTAAGCCTAAACAGGACATATGGTTACACGTACCACTCCACTGGTACATGTACCAGTGGAGTGGTACGTGTACCAGTGGAGTGGTACGTGTACCAGTGGAGTGGTACGTGTAATTAATGTACCAGTGAGAGAAATTAATTATGTAATTAATGGGGGTGATTTCGTTTTTCCCCAGATCCTTCCCCATTCATAATTACCAACGTTTTACTCCTTCCCCATTCATAATTATTATCACAATTAAGGCTTTCCCAATTTACAAGATTACAATAAATAAAGTAAAAAGCTTAAATGGAAAAGTGACCAATCAAGAGGAGGGTGTCAAAAACCACTACCCCTTTAGGGGTTAGCATAGTATCCGACCCCCTGGCCAAATATATTGTTCTTCACCAAATAAAAACTCCAACCACGGAATATATCTAGAGCCCATAAATGGTACTGGTCCAGTGGACTTCCGAACCAAAGTTAGAAGATCTTAAGCCCGAAATCCTAACGACTTAGACTGATCCAACTGTAACACAAAAGCCCAGCCCACTTCCAAATACCAATTTCTCTTCTCGTCGTCGGCAATGACGTCGCACCAGCCCACACTACGCGGCTACCGAGAAGCGCGTCGTTTCCCGCTGGAACTTCCCTCCTTGTCTGACGGCTTCATTTCCGCTTCATCCTTCACGTTTTAAAAAGGAAAAAGAAAAGGGAAAACATTTTCAAAAATCTGGAAACCAATCCTCAAAAAGGAACAGCAAAAGAACAATCTAGGTTTCAGGTCGGAGGGAGGGGGCTTGGCTGGATTTCCTGCCTTACGCCCCAAGCCAGCTTCTTCCCAGAATTATAAATTCCACTTCTTCCCACAGCTCTATCCCATCACCTTTTCCTCCATTCTCCTCGATTCTCCTTCAAGAAATCCACCAACCAAAGGTATAGCAACTAATTCGCAGCAATTTCGATCGAATCAAACCGATCATGTCAGGAGGAACAGAAGCTTTCCCGGATTTGGGCAGGCACTGCCAGCACAAGGAATGCAACCAGCTCGACTTCCTGCCTTTTAAATGCCAGGGGTGCCAACAGGTAGCAAATTTACAATCCAATCCAATCCAATCCAATCCAAACCCAATTCCTTTCCCTTTTTCTCCATTGCTGAATGAATTCCGGATTCTGGGTTCGTTTCAGGTTTTCTGCTTGGAGCACAGATCGTACAGGGCTCACGCATGCCCGAAATCCGACCACAACAGCCGCAAAGTCGTGGTCTGCGAGATTTGCTCCACCTCCATAGAGACTACGGGCCATGGGGAGTTGGCCGAAAAGGCGTTGCTGGAGAGGCACGAGAAGTCGGGGCAATGCGATCCAAGGAAGAAGAAGAAGCCCACGTGTGGCGTTCGTCGGTGCAAGGAGATACTGACCTTTTCCAATACCTGCGTCTGCAAAACCTGCCAGATGAAGGTTTGCTTGAGCCACAGGTTTCCAGCGGATCATCAGTGTAAGAAGGATTTGGCTACTGCTCCTGCTGCCGCAGCTGCAAATGGTGTGAGCAGGTTCCTGCTTGCTTTCGCTTCGAAGAATGCCAAAGACTGTGCCAAGAATGATAACCAACGGTCTTCTTCAAGTTCGAGGGCACCGTCTATTAGATCACATTGAGAGGCTTTAGGGATGGTATGTGTTGTTACCTGATTGTTTGTTTGTTGCTAGCCAGAAGTTTGCGCTGTCTCTGTACAAAGGCAAACTTTTTACAAACAAATGGAGGAATGAATGAGAAACAATATGTTAATTTCATGAACACTTGATCTAGTTCCTAGTGCGCCATATACATTCGTATTTGATATTCATTTCGTTACACGTCAATCTTCCACCCCTTTTCAGTGATCATATGATCTACAATCTTTCCACCGTCTAAAGGAATCTGTTAATACAATTACAACCTTCAATAACAAAACAAGGAGCACCTTCGTGTGACCTTTGTGAGAGCAGGCAGCACATTGACAAAATCATGAAGCCCGCTTTTTTGGAGGAGGTAGTAGAGCAAGAAGGATCTTCTTTCTTGGACCCTGCAAAAGAACCCAAGAACCATAGTTTTCAGTTAGACAAATGGAAAACGTCAATGTTTTGAACTGGCTGGGTCAAGCAACAATAACAGCATTCTTGTACGTTTGGTGTGAATTGAAATGCCTTAATCTGGATAAGGATTTTTTAAATAAGTAAAGACTATGCAAAAACTACCACCATGGAATCCTATTCTTAACTATTTTCTCGTAAGTTGGCAACAGTTGATAGAAGATGGTTGTCCTCAACCAGTTGGTTCGATCACATTAACAAAGTCAGCAACACAAGAGTTAAAACTTGTTGAGCATATTGATCTGAAGCTGTAATACAGCCTATAGTGAGAGAGAAGCATTACCATCGGTATGCCCATATCTTTAAGATCTTTCTCCCCCATCTGCTTCAGTACAGCCATGTCCACCTGTTAGACAATGCAACTACCAAAGTATCAGGAGAACATCCACATAATCAATAACAGTATAACACCCGGAAAAAGAAAAAAACAGAAAGAAAGAAGGAAGAATCATGCCCAGACACAGAATTATACTACAGGCTATACCATAGATTATTTTGTGGCAGCATATTTGGGTCACAGATTACTGATAGCGAACAACCCAAGCAACCTAAAAAGGCGAGCCCATTATCCGACAGAAACTCTAAGCAACAAAAAATTAAGCAATGACACTTACTTCTTCTGCCTGAAAGCTGATGCAATATTTCCCCAGTCCAAGTGAATGCAAGAAATCCGCCACAGTAACATGTTCATGAAGCTGCATAAAGGCACTAATTATAAACCAAGATCGTGGATCAAACCTTAAGGTCGAAGATCTGTAATATGTAACTTATAAATAGTAATTACTATTACCTTCTGAGACATATGTTGCGTAGTTCCTAATGTATGTGCAACTCGTGGAACAGCAGCACAGCTTGTTTGAGGAGGAGCATGTTTCACTGTTATAAGAGGTGAAGATCCTGTTAACCAAGACCTAGGCGGCGGCGCATTCTGAACACCAACATTCCGGATCAAATTTTTGCTGCTTGATAAATCACCTGCCCTAAGTAGCGCCATTCGTTGTGCCTGGCTGGAATTCTGGGTGGGGAGAGCTCACGAGTAGGTCTGGATATTCTATCGGGGGGACCTTGCTCTCCTTGATCCTCCCATAGCGAACTGAGAAGAGTAGGTTATCCCATTCCCACTAGCATATTCTTCAGGATAAGTTGGCGGCCTCAAATCGTTATATTGACTACTGGAAGAAGGCCTGCTCGGAGTTCTATAACTCATAGGGGCTTCATTGGATCTTGATGATGTTGGATGTACTGCAATTTTTTGGGAGTATTCACAACATCGTTAGATCTCTTCAATTGCCTTTTACGAATGAGCTTCAAGCGGAGATCATTACTAGCAATTCGAGATCCTTCATGCATTTCAGCCCACTAGAGTAAGTGAACAAGAACAAGCATAAATGAATCAATGCATATTAGCGCATAGAAAACTTTGAATGTTACCTTTCTCACCAGAGAGACCAGGGCTCCATTTCATGCGATCTCCTCGATGCCTAGAGAATAAGTTCTAGCTATGATTATTGGACAATGCTAAACTTCGTATTGAGCAACGAAAACAACTAATGCTCAAACTATGGAAGTGTTATGACAGGATCAATGTATGATCTCAATCACTTCCGTGACAATGAGTTAATATTGGGTATCTTCCAACTAACTCTGCATTCATAGAGTTCAGATTTCTTGTATCACAGGAAGGCAATCGAGACCCTATATAACACTTTCTCTATCCAGCCTCGCACTAAAACAAAGTACCCTATAGAGCCCTTTGGCTCTTTTTGCTCGAAACTAATTCAAAGTTACCGAGTAATTGAAGAAGACAAAAGGGCCACACAAGTTACAAGCTACGAGAAGGGAGGATCCAAATTGCACCGAGAGAGAGAGAAAGAGTGACAGACCGTTTGCTGGAAGACATCCATGACCCTTCCCCTGAAGGCTGTTTACCTTCCTTAGTCACCACCTGAAACAAAACAAAAAAAAAAAAAATTCAGAACACCCCACTTGAACACCAAACACGAGATTACTCAAATGAAGCTATTATAGTGTGTACAAAGCAGAATTGCAGAAACCCAATTGCATAGAGTGAGGGCGGAAGCAATATAGGTTACAAAACGAAGAAGAAGCAGGGGCCGAAGAGAAAAGGAGGTTGGTTACCTGACCAGAGCGGCCGAGAGTGATGGTGACCCTTGGGTTGGAGGACATAACTTTTAGGTCCCTCTCTCCCGGCGAAAGTAGAAGAAGATCAAATCAAGCTAGGAAGTGACGAAGATACACAAATCGCAGTGCCTCTCTGCGTCGATGGATAGAACTGCAGCACAGAGAACAGACTGGTGGAAGAAGGAAGGAGGGAGAGCTGAAAAAGGGGCAAATTATATAGCGGGGCTCCGATGTTGGAGTTGTCTGCCGTTCGTCGCAAGGGCATAACCAGAGAGGCGAAGTGTAAGTTCTGCTTTGTTTGTCTGTATGCAAGTCGAGCGTGGGCTGGGCCCTGAGCCTTGCTTGCTAATGCTATTCCATTGGTAGATAATATATTCTTAAGGACCAAATTGATTTCAAGAGAACAGGGTCCAGCCCGTAGCAATGTGTTTAGACCGGCCTTTTCACATATATATAAGTATCATACTATCATGGTTAGTGGTTACCAGTTATTGAAAACCCAAACCGGAGATCATATCATATTAGTTTATGGTAGGGTATTTTATGCTACGATCGTGATTCAATTGTTTCATATCAATAAGTTTTTTTATATAAAATAATATATGTAGGATAAAATGCTCTACCGATCATAATATGTTATCATATTGGACAAATACCCAAATTAATAGCAATGAGCCAAATACTAACTAACCGAATATGAGAAACCAAAGCACAAAAGACAGAGAAAAATTCACAACTTCACCAATTAATCTTCAAATCTAACTAAATCAAATTACAAAGTGCAAACATTACCTTTTATCACAGTTTCTGAATCCCTTATTCCTAAAACACCTAGAGACGCAATCTTATGCATATAACGAGCAAGAAAACATTTCTCCCCCCAACTCAACACATCTCTTTTGTCCCTTCACAAACCACAACAATACAAACAAATCTCCTACATTGTTGTTTGTCTCTTAATTATTAAGAAAAACTCATGTAAGATTATAAAACGTTATTACATAAATTTTTCATAATGTGTGGTCTAATAGTATAATCAAGTTATAGTAAGTAATATTGACGAATTTTTAATTTCTATAACTTTTATTGAATGTTGTTGCATAAATATTTCATAATATGTGGTCTAATAATAATTGCTTATTAATTTTAGACTTATGGTAGAAGTGGTTGTAGAGAATAAAACTCATATGAATAATATTGCAGAAAAGGAGAAAAAGGGCTTATGGTAATATTGAGTTATATTGGATAAAACCATATCGTGAACAGTACCCGTGGAGAAAAATAAGCAGCAATCCAATTGAGTGAAACGCAACAGAGCGACAGCACGACAGATAGACTAACCAAGCAGAGTGAGGGGGCCTATTTTTTTAATGAACCGTGGAAAGTGCTTGTGCTTTTAATTATATAATATAATATAATAATATGGATTATGGTATTGAAATGAATCAAAAAATATATATATATATATATATATATATATATTTTTATTAGTGGTCAGTACTAGCTGTTGATGAGTCACAACGAGAGAAAGTCATGTTCACTCAATAAATAATAAGTGTAGGGTTGTGCAGTGTCATGCATAACAAAGTTATACACTGTATCCGCTCCCCATACATTTGCTACAAACAAAATCAAATTACAAGGGAAGTGGATCCAACAAAAAGCGTTCGATATGATTCTTCAAGGAGATTTGATCGATGTTACGGATGATGGGTTCGGTAAAATTCAAGCTGAGTTTTAGAAAAGCAAACAAAATCCAATCCAACAGATACTACGAATGCATGAACTCACATGGGTTCAAGAACACAGCCATAGATTATTACTCCGTTAATAGACTAACTTAAAAAAGAAATTTGGATTGAAAAACAATTTCAACGGCGAAAATTAGTTATAAAGCGATGAAGTTTTTCATCGTGGATTCTTGGAGTGTATCTCAAGTGACACATTATGTCAGCTAAAAAATATGGATCGATGAACAGTTTTAGAGATTAGTTATTAAATGGTTTTGTAAACTACTTCATAACTGAAATTGAAATATTCTATTTATTTTATGAATTACAATTTTTTTGTTTGCTCTATAAACAACATAAAAAGCCTCATAATGAACTCCGGCTCGGAACAAGAAGCAGAGGTTGTTCCTTTTGCAACAACGACAACCCAAACTTCTCACTCATATTCATCTTTGCCGGATCCTCCCCGCCGGGAAGACACCAATCGAAGCTCCGAACCAACGCAGCCAAAACCAACGGAACCTGCCTGGCAGCCAACGGCCCTCCTCCCAGAGCCAAACGGGAGCAGCTCGAAATCCTGACCTCTGAAATCCACCTTCGACCCAATAAATCTCTCCGGTCTGAACGACGCCGAATCATCGCCCCAGATTGCCGGATCCCTCCCAATCGCCCACACGTTGACTAAGACCTGAGCCCCCGCCGGGATCGTGTAATCCATCACCTCACAACTCTCCGCCGCTCGGTGCGGCAGCAGCAGCGCTCCCACGGGGTGTAGCCTCATCGTCTCTTTCACGACCGCATTCAATTACGGCAGCTGAGCCACCACGGATTCGTTGATCAGCGGCTCCCCAGGGAGCGGTGGCAACAATACTTCTCTCTTCAGCTCCTCCCGCAGTTTGTTCATGGCTCCCCTATTCCGAACTAGCTCCGTCATCGCCCATTCTATCGTCAGAGCCGTAGTGTCGGTTCCGGCCCAGCCTTTTCATTATGTAGTTACGACTTTCATCTCTGGTCAAAGGCAATTAATCAACTAGCTAACTAGACAGAGTGATGGGATGTAACTCTAGAGAACCATGAGTATTGATAAGTTGATGTACATTGTCATTAAATGTAAGCCTAATTACCTAACATACCATTGACTTTCTGCTCAAATATAAAAAATAATTAACGAAAGTTGGCAAGTGGAAATAAAAGTAAGCGCTACCAATTCATGCATGTAGGGCTATATATATGGGCATGCATTCTATAGGTGCATACTACATATATAAGCGTTTGCTTGTGGGATTTGGGAAGTAAGAAATCATCCCGACCACCACGTTAAAAGGGAAAAAATGGAAGTCTCAGTGATATCAACAGAGAACATCAAGCCAGCATGGTCAGCAGGGAGTGAGCATGAATTCAAACCATATAAACTATCCCTACTTGACCAGCTCATGTTCTCCACTCATTCTCCTATCATTCTCTTCTACCCCATGAAGGATGGCAATGACCAGAAATCGATAGCTAGACGCCTGAAATCCTCCTTGTCAAAGACCTTGAATCGCTACTATCCTATAGCTGGGAGAGTGAAAGACAACCTCATCATCCACGACTTCGAACGGGGCGTCCCCTTCACCGAAGCACGAGTGAAGGGACACCGTCTGTCCGATCTCCTGTCCTCGCTGCATGGAGGGCCCAGGTTGGAATTCCTGAACAATATGCTTCCGTTCGAGCCATTCTGTTACCACGAGGATGCAACCGAATTTGCACAGCTGGATGTGCAACTCAACACATTTGACTGTGGTGGGATCGCAATCGGGTTGAACATGCACCACAAGCTCATGGACGGGGCGACCGCCAGTGCATTCTTCCACACTTGGGCTGCCAATTGCAACGGCAGCAGTACTCCGTCTGCATGGCTGGAAAGACAGCCGGAGCTGTGTAAATCGTCATCCGTTTTCCATCCACGCGAATCAATCGCTCCGGAGTACCACTCGTTTATGAAAGACATGTACTTTCAGGATGTTCATCGCCGAAGACACAAGGGAGTGTCCAGGAGATTCGTGTTTGATAACGGAGCAATAGCCACGCTGAGAACAAAGGCGAGGAGCAGCAGGGTTGTGGATCCAACTCGCCTTGAAGCTCTGTCTGCTTTCATATGAGAATCCGCCCTCAAGGCCGTTTCCGCGGCTGGTCGGCCGCCGCAGCAGCTGCAGTGTTTCTCACAGGCTGTTAATCTGAGGCCGCTAATAAGCTCACGCTTATCGAGATACTCCATTGGAAACCTTGTGACCAACACAATGACATCCTGCAAGAATGGAAACAAGCCGATGAAGGAGCTGGTGGGTCTCATAAGAGAGGGAGTCGAGAGAATCGATGAGAAGTACGTGGACAACTTTTACAACAGTGATGAAGACAGGTACATGGCCAAGCTTGAGCGCCATAAGGTAGTGGGAGGGATTAGTGGAGGATGTGGTGGGCAAGTTTTGACTTGCTCAAGCTGGATTGGGTTCGGTTCAAACAACTTTGACTTCGGTTGGGGGAAGCCGGTCTGGGCCGGTTTATTTGGAGACCCTAGCGGAAATCATCCTTGTATCAACAACTGCATTGTTTTCAAGGAAGTAGCTCCAAGAGGGCGTGGGAACTCGAAAGCCATAGAGGCATGGATAAGGTTAGATGAAGATGTCATGGCTTTTCTTGAACATGATCCTCACTTCTTTCAATATGCTTCCCCAAATCCACCCATCATCCTCAACTAATTATAATTACCTGCTGTACTCTAATTAGTTGATTATCAAACTACCGGTGATTAGTGAATCGACACATGATCACTGTATGGATGTATCATCTTATGGCTTATCTTTAATAATTAATGTCTTATGGATGATTACGGTATTGAATTGAATGCAAAGGTTAGCGAACGCTGTACGGATGTGTTCATACTTGATTTTTGTACTTCAATATATTTCGTTGAATCAGCAGTGTTGTTAAAGCCGATCCGAGCAGGCCGGTCGGACCGGTAAAATCGACACCCGGACGTCAGCCCGGCTCGGAACACCATAAGAGGCACAACGGTCAGAAAAGGGAGTTGATAAGCAATCTGAACGACTAATCGTTCGAACCATTCAAACCGACCAAACGGTTCTTATTCCAACCATCCAATTAAAGGAACACAGGGGACGCGCGTGGGGTTGGGAAATTGCACTCATCAATTCCTTCCCTTTTCCCGACTCAAAGCCCAAAGGCCAACTCTTTCTGTTGGAAGCTGTGTATAACAATAAATTACTAGTGCATTTTCGTTTTTGTTGTTGTTTCTAATTGTAATTATTAGGGCTGCACAGGCCAACTCTTCTTTCTTGAATATTTGTTAAACATTTGCTACAAACAAAATCAAATTACAAGGGAAGTGGATCCAACAAAAAGTGTCGATATGATTCTTCAAGGAGATTTGATCGATGTTACGGATAATGGGTTAGGTAAAATTCGAGAGTTTTAGAAAAGCAAACAAAATCCAATCCAACAGATACACCACCAAATGCATGAACTCACATGGGTTCAAGAACATAGTCATAGATTATTACTCCGTTAATAGACTAACTTAAAAGAGAAATTTGGATTGAAAAACAATTTCAATGACGAAAATTAGTTATAAAGCGATGAAGTTTTTCATCGTGGATTCTTGGAGTGTATCTCAAGTGACACATTATGTCAGCTAAAAAATATGGATGGATGAACAGTTTTAGGGACGAAGATTAGTTAGTAAATGGCTTTGTAAACTACTTCATAACTGAAATTGAAATATTCTATTTATTTTATGAATTCCGAAGTACAATCTTTTTGTTTGCTCTATAAACAACATGAAAAGCCTCATAATGAACTCTGGCTCGGCACAAGAAGCAGGGGTTGTTCCTTTTGCAGCAACAACCCAAACTTCTCCCTCATATTCATCTCTATTGGATCTTCCCCGCTGGGAAGACACCAGTCGAATCTCCGAACCAAGGCAGCCAAAACCAACGGAACCTGTCTGGCGGCCAACGACACTCCCGGGCACATCCTCCTCCCAGAGCCGAACGGGAGCAGCTCGAAATCCTGACCTCTGAAATCCACCTTCGACCCAATAAATCTCTCCGGTCTGAACGACGCCGAATCATCGCCCCAAATTGTCGGATCCCTCCCAATCGCCCACACGTTGACCAAGACCTGAGCCCCCGCCGGGATCATGTAATTCATCACCTCACAACTCTCCGCCGCTCGATGCGGCAGCAGCAGCGCCCCCACGGGATGTAGCCTCATCGTCTCCTTCACGACCGCATTCAAGTACGGCAGCTGAGCCGCCACGGATTCGTTGATCAGCGGCTCCCCTGGGAGCGGCGGGAACAATACTTCTCTCTTCAGCTCCTCCCGCAGTTTGTTCATGGCTCCCCTGTTCCGAACTAGCTCTGTCATCGCCCATTCTATCGTCATAGCCGTAGTGTCGGTTCCGGCCACGTACAATTCCTGTAAGAAAACCGGAGCGCAAAAAAAAAAAAAAAAAACTAAGCTAAGCAAAAGCTAATAATGTTGCGGAAAATCAGATTTAGTTTTTTCTTTCTTTCAACTTTAATTACCAGAGTCAACCAGTTGATTTGGTCGTCGTCAATTCCATTTTCGAGGAAGATGTCCAAGAAATCTCCAGCTTCAGCTCCATCTCGATTCCGCCTCTTTTCTCTCCTCTCCTTGACGTAAGGCGCGAAAATGGAGTAGATCTGGTTGAGAGTGCGAGATGCCTCGCGAGTCAGGCCCTGTAGATCCAAATTCTTCAGAATCGGGAAAAAATCGGCGAGATTAGGAGCAACTCCCAATTCTATCAGCCTCTGGATCAGGGATCTCAATCGATTCTTGGTCTCGTTTCGTTCGAACCCGATGCAATCGCGAGAGAAGATGAGATTCGACAGCGAGTCGAAAATGCTACTGAAAGCGACTTCCTCGATGCTAACCGATTCCCCTAATTTCCCGCCGAGAAATTCGACCATCTCGGCCACCTTCTTCTCCCTGAGGGCGGATTGAGATTCAATTGCCTTGTTCGAGAAGATCTGGTTCCTGAACATGGCACGGAAATCCTTCCACTGGCTGTTGCAGCTGGAGGCCCAAATGACTGCCTTGCGGTCAAGCTCCGTCGCGGTGTAAGGGAAGACTCTGGAGATGAATCTAGCGGAGAGGATGCGGTCGTGGATTCTCAAGATTTCGGCGGCGGCTGCCGGAGAATCGGCCACGACGAGGTGTTGTGAGCCCAGGCGGAAGGAGATGAGAGGGCCGTACAAGTTGGAGAAGTGTTGGAAGGAGAGGTGAGGCATTTTGCCTAGGTGAGGGAGGTTTCCTACTATCGGCCATGGTTTTGGTCCCGGCGGGAGCGGCTTCTTGGGAGATAATGCAGGGTTGGCTAGAAGTCGGGGAAGGGTTATGATGACGAGAATGGTGATGACGGAGACTGGGAGGAGAAGAAGAAGTGAGAGTACCATTTTTGTAAAAGGAATATCAGAGATTTGATTTGATAATGATCACGAACCAAAGCTTTGATTTATATAAAACCCTTATTAGCTTGTATTCACCAATGACCAAACCATGTATTCAATGATTTTTTTTGTATATATATGTAATAACCTGCAGGGGACAAGCTGGCTATCCCATTTGTTTACGGGAGATCTATCATACTAATACATGATTTTTTTATTATACATAATTAAAAAGAGAAATTTACAATGGATAAAAGTCATAGAGATCTTGGGATGATTGATAGTCAAGTCAAAACATAGATATGCACCCCATCAACCAATTTTGTAAAATAATATAACAAGATCATATCTTTCCATGATATCATAAGAAAATGAAGCAGCTTTGGAGGAAGCAATTCAAGATACTTTTGTGGATCAATGTTATATTTAAAGGATCAAAGAGTAGATACTGGTAAGTTAAAAGATAAACTTGTATGATAGACAACAATGCGCGTTCAAGGTGTAGATAGAGTTTGAGTTTACTGAAATTCTTAAAACTTTATTAATATTAAAACTTATATATTTAATAAAATTTGAGTTGATTGAGATCCTGTAAAAGTTTACAAATACTAATACATGTAAGAATAGGGTTGGTAGGATGGCAAAGATTTAGACGAAAACATGTGTGATTTTTGTTGGCTCGTTAAAAAGCTTTTGCTTTTTAGGTATGAATAGGTGAATGGCAATGCTTTCTTCGATAAATTGATCCAATTGTGATGACTGATATATGTATTGAGTAGGATATAAATGATTCCTATGTACTTTTGATGGATTTGAGTTTGGGTTTGAGTTTTAATTTGGTCCAATTTGGATCAGACTCCAATACACACAAACTCAAATGAATCTATTTGGGTTCAGATGATGATTGTACACACAAAATGATATAGTATTGACCATCTCATTAGCCGCGTTCAACTAATTACACCTTTAATGTTGGTATTTTCATATTTATGTTTGTTTCATAACATAAAATAAGACAAAAACTACATTAGGATCGAGTATTCATTTTCTTTGAGTACCGCATGAGTCCAGTTTAGATCCAAACTAAAAAGTGAGTATAACTCTACCCCAAAAGTAAAACTACTCTAATAAGATTTGACCCGTGATAAGTTGAGTTTGTACAATGCGCAATTATTGAATCATTTTAGCCGTCCGTGCTATGGAATTTTACTTAGAAAAAAAGCTTCATTGTACTATTAAGTATTAACATATTTTTTTTCCTGACATGGTGCGATTCACATAGTTATATGTGTGTTACGTATTGTTTAGTTTCAAATTATAGAATCGCTCACTTCATATTTATAAAAAAGCTTTTTCAACATTGTAAAAGAAGAGAAATATATTATGTTGTTTATGCAGCTTGAGCCTTGAAGTGACAACCAAGTATAGTTGATCTTTCCTTTTCCCATGCATTTTCGCAAACTGAAAGCTGATTTCTGTGCCAGCTGGAGAATATGGCAAGATGCAATGCAACTACCATGTGATTGTGAAACTCCATCCATTACCCAGGATATGCATGCGAATGAGAGAGGAGATACGATACGAATCCGCCACTATTGGGCCGTGTTTATTTTTGTGGTAGCGAGCCTGACCACTTCTGCTTGGAAACCGCTGGCATATAGGTTTTTTTAGTGACTGAAGCTTCGTTTATTGATGAATTCTAATTCGTCAAATTCATTATTATCTGAGCTTAGTTAGTTCAGACAATAATATAGGAAGGCAAGCAAACATCAAAGAAAGAAAAAAGGATAGACTCTTTGCGAATGATTGTAAATTATTATATCATGAGATTTTATTATTGACTTTTTATTTTACAATAAGTTTGCATTATTGACTAGTGTGATGCACGCGCATATTCACTCAAATAAATTATTGCTCAAGATATTGTTACAAAAAAAACGAGACCAGTTATATAGGCACTGGTTCCACCAAAGTGCTGGTGATCACTTCTTTCATGAAGGTCTTGGCATTTGTGTAAGTGTCTTCGTCTTTATACAACAAGTCCATGACTCGCACCAGGTTGATTATGGCCGTCAGAACTGGCAACGGAGCCTTCAAAGGTCGCAACATATCTTCATTCACGTCTTTCCACAAAATCTTCACCAAGTTGTTCAAGCCCACATGTGCCTCTTGTTTTGACACACCATATTGTTTCATGTAACACTCCACGGACGAAGCAACATGACCCCTCTCTTGCTCGAACTTTCCAAGATATGACGATAGCGGAATAACATTAATCGCTATTAGGTGGTATCAACATATATATCGATGCACACATCAATATTATACATGTTACATACGCAAAAAAGTTCAAAAGGGATCGATGAGTCAGTTATATATATATACCTCGTGAGAGACTATGTCGTCCATGAGCCTGACAATGCTAGAACCGGCCACAACAATATTAGGGTTTGGTTGATTGAACAGCCATTGGAAGACCTCTTCTGAAGCAGCTTCCCCCATCCCACAACAAAGAATTGTCATACCTAGGGGATAACCCACGCTCACATAACCATTAGGCACATATTCTTCCATTGTTGGTATGTAACCTTTGTTGTACCACCTTGCTTCCTTGATGTATGTTCTCACCAACTCTTTCACCTGTAATTCATATATACTTAGTAGTTTTTTTTGGGGGCGAGGGGGTGAATTGGTGCCTTTTTGTAGTGAATTGATTAAGCAAATAGCAATTACCCCTCTCCTTGCATACACCATACAAAAGGACCTGCCTTCCTTTGATACATGAGCTTCTATGTCAGCAAACAGGTCAAGCAATGTGTTGAACCAAAACTTGAAATAGTTCGGCACCACATCTTCATCACTGATCCCCCACCTGATGAAGCATTCATTTAACAATATAAAGTGATTACTATATTGTAAGGGAATACAAATGATAATAAAGGATGTATATAGTAACGAATTATCAACCTCTCAATGACATTGACGATGGACTCGAGTTCATCAAGAGTGCCGTGGACATCGAAGATATCATCTAGGATGGAGACAAGTGCAGTAATTTTGGCGAGGAATATTCTTCCGGTGGTATGATCTGGCTTTACAAGTGGTCCGAGGGCCCATAGGTAACACTCTATCACTCTGTCTCGCGCAAATGAAAGCGTATTCGACGTATCCAAATCCATCCACCACCTACATAAATTATTATTTTTTTAAATTTTATATAAAGAAAACAACATATTAAATTTTATCACGTACCCAAAAGAAAGATATCGTGAAAAAAAGATAGAGAGTCAATGAATAGTTACTTGGTGAGAAGTTTAAGCTCGTGTTGATGCAACTTCTGCCCGAAGTTGAAATCCAGCTTCCCTAGCTTCAGAATGGCTTCGTTGTGGGTCTCGTCTTGTTTGTAAAACGACATGAAGTGCCTCGACTCTCTTATGGGCAGCCCTTTGAGTATGGGCCATTTCAACGAGTGTCTCACTCGGTCAGCCCAAGGCGAGTCCTCTAGCTGGGCAATGGGCCCAAGGTGAGTTCTTGCAAACTCAAGTGCTTCATCCAATATCTGTTCTCCATTCACTCTGTAGTAAGCAGCTTCGTACAAGCTCAGCAGCCCTTTCACGTTGCCGGCCAGATCGTCCCTGAAGTTGCCCTTCTCGTCTTTGAATTTCTCCAACACACGCGTGGGATTGATGGGGTAGCCCTGCTGCCTGAGAAGCCGGAACCGGAGGGAAACAGCGTACAAGTCAACGTTGTCGTCATCATCATCATCATCGTCAGTGCAAGAGATTTGAAGGAGAGCAGCTTCAATTTCTTGTTCGAAACGATAACCGATGCCAAGCCTTTGCACGGCGTCAATCATCTCCAGCCTTTCCAGAATCGTATTGGTGATCTTCTTATCATCATTACTAGCAGCTCCCCTGAGCAGTTCCCTGACTTGTTCCGTCAGTTCCCGGGCTTCCTTCAAAGTCTGTTAATGCATGTGACATTAAGAGAAGGGAAGTAAGAAGGAAAAATAAGCGAGTGAGTGGTGAAACAGAGAGGTTTCGAGGTACCTGCTGAGAATCATGATGATCGAAGGCGATGGAGCGGGCAAAGAAATCATTCCAAACAGAAGGGTGAAATTCAGCCCTTTTTCTGCGTATTTCTACAGCTGGTTGGTCAACAGTAGCCATTGTCGCCATCTCTCTCTCCTCTTCTTTATGGTTTTGTAGTGGGCTTAATTTGCTGTTTGCCTGCAACATATATATAGGCCCTACATGGGATGAATTAGACAGCTTTTACATTTACTTCCACTTCCCACTTCTGTCTTCTTACCTTTCTTTCATATATTTTTTTTGGGTGTTTGAGCAGAAAGTCATTTGTTAGGTAATTCGGCTTGCATTCAATGATAATCGAAGAATCCACTCGTGGTTCTCTAGACTAGAGTCCATTTATGTATAGCTAGTTAATCAATTGTCTTCAGCGACACACGAGAGATGAAAGTAATAACTACAAAATTATTAATTTTTCGATAATTAAAAATAACTACATCATTTTATAAAACATGTTGAATAATTACTACAATAAAAATGGTGTAAAAAATATTTTATGACGAACACTTGGATGTCGTTAACCAAACAGTTTGGGATGGCAATTTAAACCCAGTAAGTCAGTAACATAGTACGAGACATAGATTACTACTTTCTACACTCCTCGTCCTGCCCTGACGTATTCTTGACCCATTTTATCTAATTTTTTTATTATTTATTTGTATTTGTTCTATTGTTAACCTTTTCAATCATATTTTCATTAGATGAAACTACAAATAAGTACAAGAATTTATCTTTCAATTATTTAGACACGACTTTATATCATGTAGGAAATCACGAGGAAATCCGTTATCATGTACCGGAGGCGGTGACTTTTGTCCTTTTATTTACAGTGGCGTCGGAAAGAGAAAGTGGGGCAACTTTCGATCAACCTAGGTAGATAATGGCCAAATAGAATCAGATGTACGGCGGCGCCTGAGAGCATTAGGTCTTTCTTTATCCGTATATATTTTCTTGCTTTCCTTTTCGCCGGCGCATTAGAAAACACGACTGCTGATTTTAGCAGAGTGCTGAGTTGTAGGTGTATGGCAAGTGGACCGCATGCATGCTAGGCAACTGGCACCAGCTATTAATCGTAGTAAGAAAAACAAAAAAACAAAAAAAACTACTGCTCTCCATGCATGCACGTAACTTTCTATATCTAAGATACTATATTGGCCCAAGCATTTTAATTTCACCAAAAACGCATGTTGCCCAAAAGTATAATGCCCAACTATTTATGAGCACCTCCATTCATACATTACCCAGGATCTACGGCATGTCGCATGCATGCAAATGGGAGATAAGATATGATATGATACGATACGATCTGAAGCTTTGTTTATTGATGAACTGAGATTTGGGAAGATAGGAATCCGCTGTACCATTTAATGTTTTTACCCAAGGAAACAATCAATACATAATATGAGTGCATTGACTTCTTTCTCATTGTAGTGGTATCCACGCTTCCCAAGTCCCCAAAAGACAGCTCATCAATCTTAAGCTATCTTCAGCTGTAATTAAAATAAAATATAGGGCGATTTCAGATCGGAAACTTGCATTGCATGCGAGGTTATGGGTGTAAGATAAGATTGATGAATGATCTCGATCCACAGCTGGCTATATATTTCACGGTACTGCGCATAGTGACTGTGGATCAGTTAGTAGAGATATAGTTGATTTAGTAGTAAGGTTTTGACTAATACCTTGCGTCCTTGACCTTGAATATATGCAGGGGGAAAAAGAAGAATGGAAGTATCGGTGATATCAATGGAGAGCATCAAACCATTGTCATTAGCAGGAGGTGGTGAACACGAGTTCAAGCCATTCAAGCTGTGTCTTCTAGACCAGCTCATGGTCTCCACTCATTCTCCTCTCGTCCTCTTCTACCCTCTCAAGGATGTTTTTTTTGATAATGGTGATGAGTATTAAAATAAATTGAGGAAAGAAGAGTTCCAGAGTAGGTACAAAGGTTCATAAGCATTGAACCGAGGTAAGAAAGCCAGAACAGCGAAAAGAAACAGAGCATGAAAAAAAAGAGGAGAAAAAGAAAGGAAGGAGCTGAAACAGGGCAAGGGGCCCAACCAGCTGCAAGGTAGTAGCCCCCGCGGCGACCATGGAGAAAACCCGACGATGCAAAACCTGGGTCGTCGGCGGAGCGGGGGCAGAGATCTTCAGAACACAGAGGGCGCCAACGCACAAAACCGAACAATCACAGACCTTAGCCAAGGCACCAACCACTGCATCTCCGAGGCTGAAACATACTGCAGACGGCAACCGAGACTTCAAATGAACTCAGCCAACAAGCTAAAGAAAAAAAGCTGAGGGCCTGTTGGGAGATCAGCATTCAGTGGTCGTTGTAGAAGGGTCTTCTGCATTGTTCGTTGAGCCACTGCTGGCCTTCTTCTTTGGAGATTTTCCCCATTGAAATGGGCCATTCCAGCATTGATTTGAATGCTTTCCGCGCGACGATCGTAGAACTTTGGCTGGTGTCTTGGAAGATTCGGCGGTTTCTTTCCAGCCACAGGCTCCAGGTGATCGCGTGCAAAGGGCAATGATTGATCCACTCAGCCGGCTTGTTTGGGGGTCTGTTTTGCCAATCTTTGACAGTTGAGAAGATGTCTTCACCTACGTTGTCGATGCTGGGGCAGGCGGCTCTGCATTTGCTCCAAACTTCTTGGCTGAACTCACATTTGACGAGCATGTGATCGGCCGACTCTTCTTCCTTTTCACACAGAACGCATCTGTTAGCCATGGCCCACCCTTTATGCTTGAGGTTATCAAGAGTCTGGATTCTCTTGAGGGTTGAAAGCCAAAGGAAAATGCAGATTTTAGAAGGGATGATCTGCTTCCAAATGGACTTGGCAGGGAAGCTGGGGTCTCCTTGAAACTTGTTCTTTACGAGTGACCTGTACATGGAACGGACAGAGAAAGCTTTGTCCGGGTCGGGTAGCCAAACTAAACGGCTGGGCCCGCTGGAAATCCTGTCGTTAGCATGATTATTCAAAAATTCAAGCAACGAAGCAAGTTCTCTCTCGGCTCCCCCTCTTAAAACAAAATTTAAGTGAATGTCCCAGGAATTACCTTCGCCATTGATGCTTCTGACCGTGGAGATTCTTGCTTCAGGATCGGACGAGGCCGTAGCGACCCGGGGGAAGTTTGCGGCGAGACAAGTGTTGGGGATCCAATAGTCGTGCCAAAAAGAGCACCAGGCTCCATTGCCGGGGTCGATGCAAGTTGAGTTCCAAAACTCGTCGTGGACCTTCGAGATGTTGGCCCAAACCGAGTTGGCGAAGCCATTGTTGCATTTACCCTCTCAAGGATGTTCAAGACAAGGGATCCGTCGCTAGACGTTTGAAAGCATCGCTGTCCAAGACCTTGACTCCCTTCTACCCTGTTGCCGGTAGAGTGAAAGACAACCTCGTCATCCACGACTTCGAACGAGGTGTCTCTTTCGCTGAAACACGAGTGAAGGGACACCGCCTCTCCGATGTCCTCGAAGCCCCACCACGTGGGGGACCCAAGTTGGGATTCCTGAACAGCTTGCTTCCCTTCGAGCCATTTTGTTATCAGGAGGATGAAGCCGCTTCTGCACAGCTATCGGTGCAACTCAACACGTTTGACTGTGGCGGGATTGCAATCGGGTTGGCCATGTACCACAAGCTCATGGACGGTGTGACCGCCAACACATTCCTCCACGCCTGGGCCGCCAATTGCAAGGGCAATTCGGCGGCACGGCTGAAGCTGAAACAGCCAGAGTTGAGTAAACCATCCTCCGTTTTCCCTCCCAGCGAGTCAATCTCTCGAGAGCGCCTAGCGTTTATGAAAGACGTGTATTTTCAGAGCGTCAATCACCAACAACAACAACAACGAAAGGGAGCCTCGAGGAGATTCGTGTTCAACAAGAATGCTATAGCCACGCTGAGAACCATGGCGAGGAGTAGCAATGTCATGGATCCAACTCGTCTCGAAGCTCTGTCTGCTTTCATTTGGGAATCCGCACTCAAGGCAGTTGCTGCTGCTCAGCGGCCGCAGCAGCAACTGCAATGTTTCACACAGGCTGTTAATATAAGGACATTGATGAGCCCACGATTGTGTAGATACTCCATTGGAAATCTTGTAGGCAACACATTGGTGTCCTGCAAGGACATCCCCAACAAGTCAATGAAGGAGTTGGTAGGTCTTATAAGGGAAGGAATTGTGAGGATCGATGAGAAGTACATCAACACCATGTTGTCTAGCACAGCCAAGATCGAGGTTCAGAAGGTGGTGGGAGAAGTTGCCCAAGGAGGATGTGGTGGGCAAGTTCTGAGTTGCTCAAGCTGGGTCGGTTTCAGGGTTAATGATTATGACTTCGGTTGGGGAAAGCCCGTTTGGACCGGCTTATTTGGAGACCCAAGCGGAAACCAAGCTTTTCTCAACAATAGCATCATTTTCAAGAATTTAACTACTACGGGGCATGAAAATTTCAATGCAATAGAGGCATGGATAAGGCTAGATGAAGATGTCATGGCTCTTCTTGAACATGATCCTCACTTCACCCAATATGCTTCTCCTAATCCATCCATCATTATCAACTGAACATGATCATACTTTCTTATGATTTATTATGGGATAATGAATATTTTGTATGTCTATTTTATGGTTTCAATACTGGTAATACAAAAATGGGACGTTGGCCCATATTTTTACGTCATATAAAGTACAACATTTCATTTACGGGAAGAAATCAGCTGGTTCAATAAATAACGGTAAGTCCGCGTGCTCTTCCAAGATGTGGATATAGAAAATGAAAAAAAAAGAGTATATCCGGTTTTCGACTAAAATTCTTCGACATAACGAGCAATCCGTAAAAACATTATCTAATACAAATTCCATATATATTTACAAAATCTTGCATAACTCCATCTTCAGAAATTGTCAAACGACTGAAATCTATTCATTATCCCCCATCACACGCTCAACTTACACATAATTGTTCACATGAATGGATGTTGATTAATATTTTTCACGACCCACCAAATTATGAGTGAGTAAATTTTGAGGCTTCCCAATAAAATCCCAAAGACAGCTATGACATAATAGCAGGTAGCTATTGCGAACTAGACCGGTTGTAACTGAACCTCGAGTATAAGGTTGAATATTGATATCATATACTTAAATGAGCTGGATTAACATATCAGTTGGCCTGGTCCGCAGCCGGTAGAGGAGCCGCCTTCAGGAAAAAGATATAGCACAAAATTATTTTGAATATATAATAAAAATAAAATTAATAGCATCGACTAATAAGTAAAGAAAAGGCTCAAAACGAATTAGAACATTATTAGAGCTGCCAACAATTTTTTTTTTTTTTTATGAATGCTGCCAGCAATTTTTCCCCTCAATAACTTGAATTGTTTTATAAACCTTATACCATTTTTTCTCACTAGTTTTTCAAAAAAAGAAAAAAATCAACTTATGGGATTGACATTTTGTACATATATGGCATACCATATGCTTAAATCAACGATTAGTATATAGGCTTGTTAGGAATTGAACACGAGACCTCACGGTCAAACAAACTCTGATACTATGTAATAGACCAATTAATCGCAATAATTCGAATTGTTTGAAAATACTCATACATTAATCTTCCACCACTTCAAAGAAATTTAGGGTTAGTGGACTGAACAACCATTGAAAGACCTCCTCGGAAGCAATCTCCCTTTAAGATTCAAAACCAGTTTCATTTTAATAAATCGTTACACATTCTAATACCGCTTTAAGAATCAGTTAATCTCAATAACTGAAGTTACGAAGAAAAACTCAATAATAAATCATATACAATTTACTTAAATCCCATCCGAGCAATAGTCAACTGTAAAAATTCACTTGTCAATTTTCGGCTTTCGCAAAATGGAAGTCCTATTTCAATAGTCAACTGAAAAGCTTCACTCATTGAATTGAGATGGGAGGGACGAACCCGTATTTTTATGTTATTCGTAGAGTGGCACCCCACGCCTCTATCTGGCTGCAAGAGAATCCTTTGACCAACCTATCAATACTACAAAATAAATAGCACGTACCAACTGATTAAACCTCTCTATATAAGTAACCACCCCGCAATCGTCGAATCCCAAGTAATATCCCTAACCTTCAGAACTTGGAGTTTATTTCATCCTCTCAAAAAGTAAAGGATCGGCATCATGATCAGTACTAATGGAGGAGGAGACGGGAAAGTGGCGGTCTGCGTGACAGGAGCTTCAGGTTTCATAGCTTCATGGCTGGTCAAGCTTTTGCTACAACGTGGCTACACCGTCAATGCCACTGTTCGTGACCCAAGTCTGAGACTCTATCTCTTTTTCTTACTCTGTACTTTTTTCTTTCGTTCTTTCTTTTCCTCTGAGTTTGACTCCTTTATTTTTGGGCGGCAAAACAAAAGGTGACGAAAAGAAGACAACCCATTTGCTTGGGTTGGATGGAGCCAAGGAAAGGCTGCATCTTTTCAAAGCAAACCTGCTGGAAGAAGGGTCTTTCGATTCAGCCATTGAAGGTTGCGTCGGAGTTTTCCATACAGCTTCCCCCGTTGCCTTATCTACCGTTGATCCACAGGTCTTTTTTTCTTTTCTTTCTTATTTCTTTTATTGCACAGAATTTACGGAGCTTTTGTCATGCATGCATTTCTTCTTTCTATCTGTAAACATTACTTAATTGTTTTCTTCCACCAGGCGGAGATGATTGATCCTGCGGTCAAAGGAACCCTTAACGTGCTGAAGTCATGCGCCAAGTATCCTTCTGTGAAGAGAATGGTCCTAACCTCGTCTGTTGCATCAGTTGTCTACACAGGAAAACCAGTTGACCAAGATTCAGTGGCTGATGAGACTTGGCTCTCCGATCCAGAATTCTGCAAGGAACATAAGGTGGGTTGTAAGAAATCAAGGCGTAATTTTTAGTTTATGAACTAAACTCGCGCGGATTTTTTTCCCCCCAGCTCTGGTACCCACTTGGGAAGACCTTGGCTGAAATGGCTGCTTGGGACTTTGCAAAGGAAAATGGAATCGACATGGTCACAATTCATCCTGGCTTCGTGATTGGTCCCTTCTTACACCCAGCTCTCTGTACTTCGGTGGGCATGATTCTCAGCCTGGTTAATGGTAAGTAGTACCTAAATCATAAAAGCAAACCTATATCACTTTTATTAAAAAAAGAAAAAAGAAACCAAAAAAAAAATGCAACAACCACCTCACTTGCTCTTCATGGCAGGAGTGATTTCTAAGTAACTTCTGGTTCTGTATAATTGGGTGCAGGAAACAAGATTTACCCAAAGTTTCATTGTTGGTCGGTTGATGTTAGAGATGTTGCAGAAGCTCATATTAAAGCCTTTGATCATGAGAACCAAGTATCAGCTTCTGGAAGATACTGCCTGGTTGGAAGTAGTGTGCCATTCTCTCAAGTTTTGGGGATTCTTCATAAGCTCTACCCAACGTTGCCTCTTGCTGACAAGTACGTATATCTTACTAGGCCTTTTTCGTATTAGTGTTTTTTTCCCGTTTGTTATTAGTTCATAAGAATGCAAAAGAAACAGAGAAAGCAAGTTGAACGTCCAATTTGGTTTGCTTGTGTGTGTGTTTGTAACAGGTGCGAAGAAGTGAATAGTTTGAAGCTACCGGAGTTCGAGGCATCCAGGGAGAAGGCAGAAGATGGCTTGGGGATCAAGTTCATGCCACTAGAGGAGTCTCTCAAGGACACAATTGAATGCTTAAAGGAGAAAGGATACCTTCATTTCTGATCTAGATCAATATTGTGTGTTCAACTAATCGGTTCAAAATGAAAATAACGTTATTGTTGTAATATTTGTACCTCATGCAATCATCTTTCGTGTATGCTTATTGCTTTCGACCGATTGAAAACGGAGTATTTTAGTAGCTACAAAATCTGTCATAGAACAGAGCAAATAAAGTCAAGTTAATCTCACAAATGTTTATTGAATTGGTGATTACTAGATTTCAATAAAGAAACTAAGCAATCATTCTGATAGAAAGCGAGCATTATAAGGCCATTTTCCAACTTGTAGGAATTACACGGCACGTGATAGTTAATGGATAGTATTCATTTTCCAGAGCTATGTACGAATTACACGGCACGTGATAGTTAATTAGTACGTATCATGCATGCATGACTTTTCGTATCATCGTGCACAGATAGGGGGCGGCTTGCATAGTTAACTACGTTAGGTTTCTGTATGCTTTAACTAGTGTTGATGTGATTAGTTGACTTGGTCAAAATTTTCTATTTGAAGCAATTATATTTTTCAATGAATGAGTAAATTTACATCGAATGCATGAGAAGCAAACAAGAAGAAATAAATAAGAAGAAAAAGGTACAATAAAACAACAATTGAAACCATAACCGAATAGGTAATATCATAGAAAATTTTTCCGTAACAATTATTCATAAGTCATAACCATAAAGAAGACTCATGCTGCATTGAATAGTAAGTCTGCTGTAAGTATTGAGAGATGATTTTTTGGACAAAGTTCTAGTTGTAAATTTTTTGAAGTATTGTAGTAGTGACATAATACCAAGCAGTCATATCTGAAAACAGTTGCATTTCGGTCAAGCCATATTCTCGAGAAGATAGCATGAGGAAGAGATGTCAAGCATTTTGAGAAGTTGATGTTGCTTGAGAGGAGTGGTCATTCGATAGTCAGTGTCCAATAACTGTATGAGATTGGCCCGATAACACCTAGCCTAGTGCTGCAAATGAGTCAAGCCGCTCGCGCGCAACTTGGTGTTCGAATCGGAAAAAACTTGTTCGAAACTCGACTCGTTAGTAAACGAGCCAAGCTTGAGCTAGGCCATGCTCGACTTAATAAGCTCGTGAGCTAGCTTGACTCGGTGGCTTGTTGAGCTAAGCTCGCAAGCTGGCTTGTTTAAAGCTTGTGGAAGGATTAATTACTCTTCTAAACATGAAAATTATCTTGTTAATAAGGATGTATGGAAGTTAGATGTTATTTTTAGTTTCTAGTGTTCTTTTTATCATTTTAATTTTTAATGTTCTTATTTGTACACATTTTTTAGCAATAATGGTTTTCAAATAGAGCTTGTCTTGAGTCGAGCTTGTACTCAGCTTGACAAGTTGTGTTATTACCTAGCTCTATCGAGCCGAGCTCGAGCTGGATTATTTTTAATCGAGTCGAGCTCGAGCTGTATGATCAAAATTCGAGTTCGAGCCGAGCTCGAGCTAAAAAATTTATAAACAAGCCGAGCTCAAGCTAAGCAAAAACTCGACTCCACTCGGCTCGTTTGCAGCCCTGTCCTAGCCTAGTGAAGAGGTAGTCTCATATATGACACGAGAAGTGACAATGAAGAAATTTTATCTTATAAATATATATAATGTTCAAAAGGATACATCCAGCTTGCCTCCATGAATTTTTACGTTCTAATTATTTTTGAAGGCCAAGTTCATAAATAGTATAATAATATTCATTACAACTTAGTCAAATTATCAAAAATCGTTCTATTTTCATTTCTAGTAAAGTGTATAAAAGAATATGTGGGGCCGAGATAAAAAAAAAGAGTTATTTGTTTGCTTTGCGATGTTGCTTGTCTTTCTATCTTGAGATACTCTTCTTCTCATCATAGCAAATTGATTGATTTTTTGCTTTGCGACGTTATTATTGTTCCTCTCTTTTCAATTTCATGTCAATAAACAATGGATAAGCAATTCAATGTTCTCGGTTAGGAATTCAAACACATAACATCTAATACCTATAATTATAATCAATTGATAATAATAACTCAAATTATTAGGAGAAATTGAATAATAATCCATTCTCAAACCTCCCATCACATCAGCTCTTATTTATACGTTAGGTAACAATGAATTAGTTCAGGAGTTTGACCACACCAAAAAACCGACCCCAGTCTTTGCCGTCTTGAACAGCGGAAGTTCAATCAAACTGACCTTGCATTCCTTCTTTCTTTGACACCGCCAAAAAAGTCAAGTCAAACGGTATCGGTCTCCCTTTCTCCTATTCCGAAATAAAAAGTCAAGTCAAACAGCAATTCATAAACCATGCAATGCAATGTGTCATTCCATTCAAAGTTCTAACGACTTGAACTCAATATCAAATGTCAATTGAAAGCTCCGCTAATTATTGAAGTTAGAAGGGAGATGCGCGAATCCCATGTTAAAATTTGTTGTTCAAACTTCAAAGTTAGCTGTATCATAAAAAAACAATACTAAAAAAGTCAACTGTTGTTACCAATTATTAAGGTACTACGTTTTCCATGCTAGCCGCCGCCGGCCAGCAGCCACCATATGACTATTCATCGCGCATGTTTATAAAAGGTTACTCGTCGGAAGGACGCTTAAAATCAAGCAAGTTCCAACAGTAGTACTGTTATACATAGCTAAGGTAAATGCAGTTTCATGTCCTTTCTGTCTTTCTAATGCAGTTTCCATCCATTATGTGGTGTGTTTAACTGAGCAAGTGTTGAACTTGTGCAGGAAGGAAAGAAACGTTAACCTTAAGAGTTCAAAAATGGAAGTGTCGGTGATATCGACGGAAAGCATCAGACCATGGTCATCATCAGCAGGAAGAGACAACGAATTCAAACCATTCAAGCTATGCCTACTCGACCAGCTCATGTTCTCCACTCACGCTCCAGTTGTCCTTTTCTACCCCATGAAGGAGGCCCATCATCCTGACGAGAAAATGGTTGCTAGGTGGCTAAAAGAATCCTTGTCCAAGACCTTGAACCCCTTCTACCCTGTAGCCGGGAGAGTGAAAGACAACCTCGTCATCCATGACTTCGAAAAGGGCGTCCCCTTCACCGAAGCCCGAGTGAAGGGACACAATCTGTCTGATGTTCTGACCTCGCCACGTGGGGGCGGTGGACCCAAGTTGGAGTTCCTCAACAACTTGCTCCCATTCGAGCCATTCTGTCAGGGACAGGAGAATGTTGCATCTGGTTCCCACACACAAGTATCTGTGCAACTGAACACATTTGACTGTGGTGGGATCGCGATTGGGATCAACCTGTACCACAAGCTCATGGACGGGGCGACCACCAGCGCGTTCCTCCACACCTGGGGAGCCAACTGCAGCAATGATCCTCAGCTGAAGAAGCAACCCGAGCTACACAAAGCATCCTTGGTTTTCCCTCCCAGGTACTCGATCCCTATCGAGTCCCAGACATTCTCGGACAGGATGCTGTTTGAGGATGTGGGAGGACAACGACGACAACAGGGTGCCTCGAGGAGATTCGTGTTCGATGAGAAGGCTATCGCGACACTAAGAACCAAGGCGAGGCTCAGTGTCCTTCACCCGACTCGTCTTGAAGCTCTGTCCGCTTTCATTTGGGAATCGGCCCTTAGGGCAACGGCTGCTGCGGGTGATGCGCAGCAGCTGATGTTTCTCATGCAGGGTGTTAACATGCGGCAATTGATGAGCCCGCGCTTGTCCAAGCACTCCCTAGGAAACCTCGTGGCCACGGCGATGGCGTCTTGCGTGGATAGCTCCAACAGATCGATGGAGGAGCTGGTGAGCCTTATAAGAGATGGGAATCTGAGGGTGGATGAGAACTACCTCAACGCTATCTCCGGCGACCAAGGTTTCCTGGCCATGATGCAAGGGCAGAAGTTTTTGCAAGAGATAACAGGAGGGTTTTCACGAAAAACCCTAGCTTGCTCGAGTTGGGTTGGGTTCGGTTTCAATAATTTTGACTTCGGTTGGGGGAAGCCTATCTGGTCCGGTTTGTTTGGAGACCCTAGTGGAGAACATCCTTTTATGAACAATACCATAATTTTCAAGGAGGTGGCTGCTCGAGGGCATGGGAACTCGAAAGCCATAGAGGCGTGGATAAGGCTAGATGAAGATGTCATGGTTCTTCTTGAACAGGATCCTCACTTCCTGGAGTATGCTTCCCCCAATCCTCCTCTCATTCTTGATTGATCATAAACTACCTATACCATTCTCCATGCGAGAAACTCCGAATTTGACCTTGTACTCGTAATCTTTGAACCTATCTTCTTTCGCTTTCGTTATTACCAAAACTATAAGGGGGAAAATATTGATCAATCATCAGACAGCTAGCTGATGTGATGATCACTACATAAATGTAATCATTTAATGGTTTATCTTGAATAATGGATGCCGCCTTTTCATTAGCCACCTCTAATCACAACTGCCATCATTGCATTGAGAAAAGGGGACAGGTTACGGTGATTACACCGTGGTTACTAAGGGTAAATTGGATATGAAAAATAAATTGTATTAATTAATTTTTTTAATAAATTATATTTTAGGTAGTTACAAGAATCTATTAATTACAATTCTTTCTCTTTCTCTCACTTCCATTTTTTTTTTTTTTGATCGGAACCTGTATTCAGCTTTTATTGATATGGAAAAGTTACATCATCAATTTTAAGCTGATCAAGCAGATTCAGCGGGGGTCTATCAAACCAAACTTCCGCTCTATCCCATAAAGTTCTCGTATGCGCCATGATATGCGCAGCTTCATTTGCCTTTCGGTTTACATATTGAATCGACCCCTCTCCTGTCTCCTTCAGTAGCTTACTAATGTTTCTGCAGACCACTCCGAGCTCAGTTTGTATATCTGTTGATCGTCTGACACCTGCTACCACATTCACACAGTCCAGCTCCATGATCGGATTCCCCATTTGGTGCTGTCGCGCAAGCTGTAAACCGAACTCAACAGCGAGTGCCTCCCCCAGCGTCGGATCCTGAACTCCCCTGACCTGTTTGGCCGCTGCCATGACAA